CAAATTTGAAGGGCGTCTAATTAACAATGGATCTAAAAGTGGGTTTGTGAGATTTGCATGGTAAGAGCAAGAAATTAGGGATTGATTGAAGGGAGTGGTATCTGCTTACTTGGTCTGTAACCGTTTGCTTTGTTTTCCTAAAATTGTCTGGGAGGAAGACAGTGAAATCGAGAAAAGTTAGGGGTAACTTGACATTTGCAATTGAGCCCTCCGGCTTTTGTTGTAATTCACTGTTTTCCAAAAGAGCCCATTAAATTGCACTAAATACTCCTCATGAGTTAATGACTGCGAAGAATATGCTTTCTTTTGTCTAAAACCTAGCACTTAAACTCTTTGTAACGGCATCCCTATATAATAGTCATTCACAATAAAAATATATTTTTTCTCGGAATTAATTTTTTATGTTATATTTTACCTTTCTATAGTAGCATTTTACTAACAGCAACAACCATTTTTATAACAGTACACTCTTTATAAAATTACCCCTCTATAACAGCCATGTAGATTTTCTAAGATTATTACTAATAATAAATCTAAATATTATAATTAAATATTTTATAACTTTAATATACAACTTATAATAAAAATATATATCTTAAGGATAGCAGTACGTTCCATGATAATATGTACATTATTATTTTATTTTTTTGAAGATCTTCAATTGATATATTATTCATTAGAAATATGCCAAAAGATACTTAAAAGATTTATTTATACTTTTTGAAGATATTGATCACGTTCAAATGCACGCCTCTAAAAAGGTATGACATGGTCGTTTGCAATAATAAAACCCAACAAAGAGTCGGGGTCGAATCCATAGGGAGCTAAGATGGGAGTTAGAAATATATATTCGGAATAAGCAAGTGAAATATCTAGATTGCACTTCCACAAATAGGTTTTGTTACTACTTCTAAAATTAACCTAATGATTTCAAATCTAAAGATATAAAATTAGAGATAATTGTTTTGAGTGCTTTCCAAATATAAAAAGGCCTAGGGTTATGACCATGATGTAGGTGTTTGTCTAATGGGATAAAGACTTTTATGCTCATTTTATTGACTCGGGTTTATCATAGCTCGCAACACTACGTTGCTCACTCAATACCTCTCGGTCAGAGAGTGGTTTTGCCCAATTTTATTTTCTCAAGACCAAATGGGTATCTACCAAAACGGTTGATAAGAGATCAAGTCGCGTTGTTACTATCTCTAGGTTGAACCCTTTAATTGGGTTAATCAATCTCTCAATTGACCCAATTCCTTGTTAGCTAAATTAACCCAGACTAGGTCCATCTTTCTCAAGAAGAGACTAAGTCAAATAGGCATGAATCAATGTTTGCAACCATTAATTCTACAGTTGAAGCATGAACTAAGTTAAATAATAAATACTCATTCATAAACAAGCATAAAATTACCCATAAGGTTTACACACTAGAGTTGGGTCACAACCCTAGTAAAAATCTAGCTACTCATAGTGGGTGAAGAAGAAAACAAAGAAGAAAAGATAATAAAGCTCATATAGGATTAAAATAGAGAAATCTAATGTTAACTCACCAAAATAAGCTAAAGTTTCCTAAAGAAGCAAAGAGAAATGGCTACAATACTTCAAATATTCAAAACTTGACCTAATTTCGTGAAACTCTTCTATTTATACAAAGCTGACAATTTCGGACAAAAATACCCCTCGGTGGGCTCTGCGGCCGCACAATTCCATGTGTGGTCCGCAGGTTTCTTCAACTTGTCAGGAACTGGAGGTCTGCGGCCGCACAATTCAGAATTGCGTTCGCGAGGCAATCTTTCTTCGATCCGCAGATTTAGCACTGCGGCCGCAAGGCACTCTTTTGCGGTTCGTAATAGTATGATTGCGGCCGCAAGATAATCTTCTAAGGCCGCGCAAATCTTGTGCGGACTGCAATTTGAGAAAGCTCTGGACTTAGCCTTTTTTCATCTCTCTGATCTTTGATCCTAACCCAGCTTTTGCGGCCGCACAATTCTTGTGCGATCTGGAATTTATTCCAAAGTCTGCTGAATTTTCTTCCGTGATTGCGGCCGCAGATGAAATCCTGTTGTCCGCACTTTGTAAGTTTATGTGTATGTTATTGTCTTAGTTTAGATTAATCCTTTTTGAGTCAAATTTCATCTCGAGAACTCAATTTCCATTATTCCTGCAATTTTACACAATTTGATCAGTTTCGGGGACACAATTCAATATTTTTAGACTAAAAAATAAAAAACAAAAATATGCTAATAAGCAATCAAAATTGCCACTTATCATATATGCACGTCATTCTTTTTTTATTTGAAGATCTACACATGATATATTTTATATTGTTCAAATACCAATAATATGTGAACGTAATATAATCACATTTTTTTAAGGTATGCACATGATATCTTTCGTATGGCTCCCAACAAGACTCTTGCTCAAGTGCCAGAGCGCGGATGTAAGAAAGACAAATCCAGAATTACCGTAATGTAAATGTGTAATGCTATGGGTAAGATATATTTTTAGAATAGATTTGGTTTATTGAAATTTCTTAAAATTGAAATGCTTAATTATTTCAAACTAATATTGATAATGTTCATTTATTTCTTTGAAATATTTAACTTGATTCTTAGTTGATTTATTTGCATTAAAAATTTCTAAATTTAAATTCAAAATTAAATCCAAAATTTATTAAATTATTTTTTTCACTTGTACTCCATTGCAGGGACAGAGAAACTAAAAACTCTAGTGATTGGAACTGTTGCTAAACCTCATTGCTATAAGAATGTAACTATGGCCTCCTTGCCGCACATCAATTATTTTTATAACAAGAAAGCATGGATGACTTGTGAAATTTTCAAAAAATACATGCTTAATCTAAATGCCAAATTTGAAGATGAAAATTGCAAGATTTTATTGTTGATGGACAATGCCACTTCTCATGACATTGAGGAATACGAAAGTCAATTAACACGTATTAAGGTATTTGTTGTAGCCTTGATCATGCTTTTTTAATGGTGCTATTGTACTAACATTGAATTATTCAGGTTCATCATCTCCCACCTAATACGACATCACATCTTCAACCTGTTGATGCTGGTATAATTGCAAATTTTAAAGTTAAGCACAAAAGCTGCTTCATCAAACATTTGATTGATGAATATGAGCGCAATGGGAGCCATCCATTATCTAGTGACAACAAATAAGTTCAATATGCGACGAGATATTAACACTCTAGTAGAAGCATGGAATGATGTGAAGGCTTCCACCATCTCCATTGTTGGAAAAAGACTAGAATCCTACCTACACATGACAATCCCAATATTGATAGTGAAAATATTGAACTAGTTGAGGATGTTGGGAATGTATCATCACTAATAGCTCAAATCACATATGATAACATCAATGAGACGATGGATGCTACCACATATGTGCAATTTGATGTAACACTTCCTATCATTAAGACTTTCACTGATGAAGAAATTATTGCCCAAGTTATTGGGGTGGAAGAAGAAGACACTATGGAGGCAGATGAAAGTGCTGACGAAGAACCTCAACCTACTACTACTTTGACTGAGATAAAAGATTCAATTGTTAAACTCTTAGATTGCCCTCAAGGAAAAGCAATTGGATATCCTTTTGCTAAAAGTTTGGATGCAAATCTTCGCCGATTTAGGCGTTATATCGCTAGTAAGAGACTAGAATCTACAAAACAAGCTACAATTATGGAGTTCTTCCAACAATCTTGAAAGATTTAATTGTGTGCCTTAGAGTTTAAATGTTTGTACGTTTAGTTATGAAGTTTTTAATAATGTATTAGATTTTTTTAGCATTTAATTTGTGAAATATTCATATCTTTCGAGATTTTTAATTTATATATATATATATATATATATATATATATATATATATATATACCCGCGCGTTGCAGCGGTTTATACATTTCAAAAAGAATATTATATGAAAAAGTTGTTAGACACAAAGGAGCATTACAATGCTATTATTTTTCTAAACATATAAATGTATTGGATATTCATGTATTTAAGTCATGAGGAGATAGACTTATCTATTAGAAAACATATGGTAAGGGAAGGACGTGGTTTAAATATGACACATAGGAAAAAGTAATTGTGATTGAAAAATATTTATGTTAAAATAACCACATTGTAGTTGCTACATATCATATTTACTGCTTGCAAAATGCTTGGTCCTTAGTCATTCATCATTATTTTTTTGAAGTTCTAGTAGTTGTTGTGATTTTAGCTAAACTTTTAGTCAAATAATGACTTGACAAACAATACAGGAATGGTTAGAGCTAGTATAATTCACCCCAAGAAGTTAGCACATTTTGATCATCAAATACTTATTTGCATTGAAGTTTACAGTAGAACTGTTGGGAAAGCCAAAAAATCCCAAAATGTTCAATTTCTAAGGTAATAATATCTCCATCGGCGAAGCTGAAATGCAAGGCAAAAGGGTAGAAACATTGAACAAATGCATTCATACATCGACTTTTAAAACTTTGAACAATATGATTTCTGTATCATATACATTATAGAACCAGTAAAAAGACAGTTAGAGAACCTCATACCAGCAATAGTTATATTGCTTCTTGTTTCGAAGGAAACTTGAGGCTTTGGATGAGGTTGGAGGCAATCCTTGAGAACTGATAGTATAAAATAAGATGAATTAGTAATGAACTTAACTTTAAAGAAGGATAACACCAACCAATAAGTATTGTTATAATATTTTCAAAACTAACCTAAAATATTTAATGTCCACATTGTTTCAATGAAATATTTATGTCAAGGTCAGCACAATAACAATAATCATTCAAAATGCAAAAATCTTACTTTGGAAGGTGTAATAAGCTTTAGAACTTAAGCAAAAAACAAACAATAGTAAAATAGTTCAATTGAAGTGAATCAAAATTACTCATTTCATATGAACTTCATATTCACCTCATATGAACCTAAAATATTTGTGACTGTTATGATGATTTATTTTATACCTCCAAAATTAAAAAAATGTTGATATTCACAAAATACTTGACTTCATGGGGTTGATCTTCACTTAGCGTCTAGCAGATGCAAATATCTTATCACGAGTCGATTTCAATAGAACAACCTTCATGTTGGTAGCCTTGCATGAGATAATTTCGAGAACGCCAAATGCCTCCTTCATTGACCTTTCTGAAAGATGAAGCGAAGTCAAAGGATTTGTTATTAGCTGAAAAGCAGGAATCACCGGAGAATTGATTTTCATTTGAAGAAATTTGGCATTTGAATCATTTCTATCATCCGTAATCACAAGATATGGAAGTTCTTGATGTTTGAAGTGCACTATGGTAGCTTGAAATCAAAATTAAGATGTAACTCTCTAGAACTACGAGCAAAAAGAAAAATGGGAGTGTTAAAATAAATAATACTGCGTTGCCAAAAACAAACGATGTAGCTGCAAAATATAAATTTCTTGTCACAACGCACAAAGTTGTGAAAAGCATATTGAAATAAATTCAAAGTTGAGGTAAAAATAATATCTATATAAATATAAAAAGAATCTGGACCTCTTTTTTTGTATATATTGTAGTTTCATAGGTCCTCTTTTAAAAGGTTCAAGTGGATTGTGGTTTTAACATTCCTGCAGAGAAATATAAATCTTTTAGTTCAGGCGCGCAAAGCTGTAAAGAATAGAATAATAGAAATTTAGAATGATGCTCAAATAATATCTCTATTAATATACAAATAATATGGACCTGATGCTTGAAATATCATATTTCAAAATTCCTCCTTCCAACGACACAAACGGATCGTGGTTTCAATGTGTCTGCCGAGATTATGATTTTTTTTTACTTAGGACACAAAGCTGTAGAAAGCACAATAGCAGATATTCAGAACTGAATAAAAATGCCTATATGTATAAATGTATTACTAATCTGGACCTGATTTCTGAACTTATTATAGTCGCATAAGCTATTATTCCAACAGCACAAGTGAATCGGCTTTATGACGCGTCTGCAAAATAAAATAAATTTTTTCATGAAGACGCGTAAAGCTGTAAAAAGCAGAATAAGCTGCAGCTATTGTAGATTGCAAAATGGGAAATCACTCCAACTCCTGCTCCGCCAATACATTTATTTAGAAATAATAGGAAAGGGAGAAAGGTTATATGGGAGGGGAGGTAAGAAAATTAGAATTCAACCCAGCTGCTTGAGTCACCATTACTTAACATTCCCCAAATGAGTTCCTCACTATTTCTTACAACACAAAGTGAACATGATACGTAGTTTCAAGGGTTAGTTGCATATAAAGTTAGCATCAATAAGAAGCATTAAGTACTTGTCCAAATATAATTTTTGAAAAATTACTTGCACCATAAACAAAGGCTTCAGGTGATCCTTTAAATTAATTTAAGGCCCCTTCAATTAGCCATCTATAACCTTGCCAGGTGCTATCAAGTGAGGCTGGTAATCATCTGCCTCTAACTTAGATTAACGGCGAAAAGACAATAATACGGGATAATAGGAATACTTAATTATATGGCCGTCACCATTTTGTGGGGAGGGGGGGAGGGGAATGTTACTGATCAACACAATGTTCCATTGAACAAGCAGTTGCATTACTGCCACCACCCATCTTGACATATTGCGAGCAAGATTCGCCTTAGGTACGGAAGGGATAGAACCTGAATTTTAACTTTATGACTGCACATTTTAGCGAGAAACCTATTATATTTAAAAAAAGAAGAAGAGAGATTGAGACTAATTACCTGATTTTCTAAGGCTGCATCCGCAGTTGAGGCAAGGAGTATAGTGCACTGTAAGAATCAAGAAAATGCGGATAAACAGTTAAGACAACAAAGTGACAGTTTTTTATTTGAGATACACATAAAAAATAAAGTATTTGGACCTCTTGAGGAAGCAGTAGTGTGTCGCCAACTTGTGCGCAACCCTTATGAAAGCAGTAAAAAGAACAATTAATAGAAATCTAAGTTCGATAAGACAACCTGCTAAGATAAACACATGAAAAATAAATACCAATTGGCTTAACAAATTCTACAAAAACAGAAGTTCCAAAGACAAATCCTTCTCAATCTAATAGAAGTTTTATTGTAAAGGCAAAAAGTAGAAGCCTCGATTGTTTTTTCAACAGTTTCACTTCCGCAATGAGGTATTGTGAAAGTATAGTCATAGTCTAGTATCACCTGTTGCAAATGTTTACTGTAGAAACCCAAAAAAAAAGGGGCAAACTAAGGAAAAGTGTCATGGAACAAAAGCAGAAAACACAGTCCAGGTCGTTTTTATATGGAGGATGATATGTTAGTTTCTACTACATATATTTGTGTAGTTTATATGGAGCCTTGCACAGGCTCGTGAACAGATCAGACAAAGAACCAAAGAATCTTTGAGTGATCCCAAGGTGAAGTGATGTAAGAATCAATTGTATGATATGTCCTTCATTTACTTCTGAAAAGAGTAAGCAAGTAAACATTATGAAAGCATTGACCTTTACCATAAAAAACAAAATTTCTTTGGTCAAAAACCATACTATCAACTTAAATAAATTTAAATATTCTACTTAAGTCGCAAGCCATGCCTAAAGACATAAATTTTATAATTTAATTTCTTTTATTGAAAGCTTGCTAATATTCAGAGGTCAAAAGCCATCGACATCATTTTACAGAATGATTTCACCTAAAAGTATCTCTTTATTAATATGTTTTGGTAATGCACAAAGTGATTTTAGTTCACTTTTATTTGTTATGCATCATTTGATATTCTGCCCAACAATTGGTCATAAATAATATACTTGCAGGACATCCACAATAAGCCAGAACTGGAAATGCTTACTGAAGGAAAAAGAGAAAAAAAAAGAAGAGAAGAAACATTTAAGCAGCAATTAGGTAAAATTCCAGCCATTTGATAATACTAATAAAACATGTAACATCAATTCATATGAATTTCTAAATCAGTATTTGGTCGATATATCCCTTTACTGTTGGTAACGGTGAAAGTAATCTAAAATTTATTTTTTCTTTAAACAATGCACATGACAGGCATGTTAGAGATCAGAGTCACGAACATAAAAAAACTATTAGATCTGCTTGGGAACAGAAAAGGAAGGCGGATGACAAAGTTGCACCATATAAGGCAACAGAGAATACCTTTAAAAAAAATACTGTATGGCTCAGAATCAAACTCTGGAAAGTGTGCAACCTCTATAGCATTCTCAAGTTGAGAGTTGTGAGAAAAAGGAACTTGTGCATACGCAAGTTGGTGTGGAGAAAGCACCAAATTCGACCTGCCAAAAGTGACTATCAGTAAAGTATTAAGAGGGAACAAATACAGAGATTGTATCAGACAATTTATTAGGTCAGAGTAACTCAAAATAGTAAAAGATAATATTGATGGGATAACAGAGAACCATCTGTAACTTAATCACATTAAAAAATAGAGAAGGTAGAACGAATCTATCTACAATTAAAAGCAGAAGAAATAAAACTACTTTTCAACAGTAGACTTGAAGGAATTAGCAAGTGAAAGACAGCTAGCAACAAATTCATATTTGCAACTTAAGAAGCAGAAAACAAAAGGAATTAGTTTCTACTTTTCAACAATATATTTGAACGAATTTGTAAGTCAAAGATACGTAAAAATAAATTCTGATTTGCGAGTTCAGAAACAGAGAGCAAAACGAATTAGCAATTTGCAACTTAAGAAGCAGAGAACAAAAGGAATCAGTTTCTACTTTTCAACAATATATCTGAACGAATTTGTAAGTCAAAGATACGTAAAAATAAATTCTGATTTGCGAGTTCAGAAACAGAGAGCAAAACGAATTAGCAATTTGCAACTTAAGAAGCAGAGAACAAAAGGAATCAGTTTCTACTTTTCAACAATATATCTGAACGAATTTGTAAGTCAAAGATACAGAACAAAACATTCAGATTTGCAAGTTTAGAAAACAGAGAGAAAAGTGAATTAGCAAGGCAATAACATATTTAAAATACTTTTTCATTTTGTAGAACCAATTCAATCGAGAATATAGTGTTTAAATTATAACGATCTAGTACTTCCCACCGACGGACAACCCGAACTTTTAACTTCCATTGCATCTTCGAAATTGTTATATCCTTGATGAAATCAATGTCAGTAGCCATCTTTTGCATAAGCCGTAAGTTTTTTTAAAATCTTGATAGCAGTAGGAAGATTAGAATTGAAGTACCGTGTATTAGTGGAAGAAATATAAGTTTGCGGGTTTGAGTAGTTGTTACCCAGTATCAATCGTGGTTTAGATAATTGAGGGCACTCTGACTATCGTGATTTTGCAAAGAAAATTTAGGGCAAATGAAAGGTAAAAAGTTTTTACCTAATATTGTGGATTAAACGGTTTTCACATGTAAAATCATTTAATACTTAAAAAAATTAAACAATTCTGAAAGTTCTAAAATTGTGAATCACATGTACGACAGTTTTATTCCAAAAAAGTTTTAGTTCCTAATTACTTGGAGCAATGTCTTAGAGTGTCAAGTGTCATATTGGGATGATGCCACTTGGCTTAATGATAGGAGTTTTTCTTCTGCTTTTAATTATAAATAGATTATAGATATAGATAGATATTAAAAAGGTAAAAAAATAATTTTTGGATAAGTTTTTTTCTATAACAACCAAAATATATTCAAACGTCAAATATTGTTATAGGTGTATAATAATCATTCACTATAAAACTCAAAAAAATTCGGAACAAACGATGTTATTATAGAGATATTTGACTGTATTGTAAAAATCGATACTCCAAATTTTACCATTGTTGATCTACTAGTCTCTTCATTTAGAGACAATTTCAAAAACCTTTCCTGAAATTTTGACTTGTAACCCATGAATTCCACATTAGCAAAAGAAAAATTTATGATTTGAATTTTATGGGTTCGAGTTTAGGGTTGTTCAAAATTGAACCATAACTGTCAACCGAACCGAAAAAATAGCTTATTGGGTTATCGGGATAATGGTTGGTGTACGGATTGAAATTTTATAATTTACGGCTTAATGGTTTAGGATGTATTACTCAATTTCCTTATCAGATAAATTATTAACCCGTTAAGAATTTTTATATTATACTTTTACTCCTATTAATCAAGAAGGCAAGAAGATAATTCCAGATGAGGGCTATGAGCTTCCCAGATCAATCAAGTAGAATCGTGTTAACAAGTTGATTACATGAGTTTGGCTTTGCAAGCTAAATATGATATTCCCTTAGAGTTGGTTTAAGTGAAAAGAGAGATAGCAGAAACACACTTCCTCCTCTATTTGTTTTCTGATAGCTGGACTTACTAGCTAAAAAGGAGAAGACACAACAATAATAAATGATATCTAGGCTTGAGTTCAAATATCGGTACTGATTCAAACTAGCTTTATAATACATTAGACTTTAGTTACCAGCACTTACCAGATTGGTTGAAATAATGCTTCGTTTCTTAGAGGTAATTGCCAAAAAGAAATCAAAGGGTGGGATAAAAAGAAGTTGTCTTTATATTCTAGCACATGATTTCCGTGGGGAAATGATAAATTTTCTTGTTCTCTACTTCTCTTATATTTTCTAGTTGGTTTAGCCGATAAACCATTCCCGCTAATCGTTAATCCGATATCAATCCGCTTGATGTCTTATTGGATGGCTAGCGGATTACTATATTTATAAACCGATAATCGATAAGCCGAACCGTTAAATATAAATAACCGCCAAGATTTTACCATAATTTATTGATTTATTGAATTCAAAATCTTTTATTATTTGTCTTATTTAGTTAAATCTGTAACACACATACAGAATGTAGCTAAAACTACTGAATCGAATGATTTCCACGCTACCGAACGTGTAATATTCATGCTACATTAACCCGAGTTCAAACGATTTCAATTGTTGCACAAATATCTCTTCTTTTATATTTAGCAAAAAATTACTTGTAACCTCGTAATGGACAAGTCTACACCTACTAACTTATTTAATGTATTCGTTATGGTGGATGTATCCATTTAACTTGCTCATTCAAAATTTATTTTAATGCTAAGTAAAAAAAATTGATGAATAAAATTTTAAGAATTATATTAATGAGCAAACACAAAGTTTGTTGTCATTTTCGTTTTAAACTATCCAAAGAAAATATAGCGCTCGACACTTGACCTCAACCAGGCCAGTGGCCACACTAATTTAATCCAAAGAAATTCAAGTCTAACTCATGCAATAAGATAACATGACCAACCTTCACCAATATGCCGACGTATACAATCCCCGATGCATCTTTTGATTTGACCTCACTAATATTAAGTTATCTGTAAGCCATCTCCAAGGATCAAGTCAAGAGTCTTAATTCTCCCAAACTCTCAACCTTGCCTTTCAACTTAGGAGGACAGTTGGACAACCCTCTTTACTAGAAAGGGGATCATCTTCATAAATTTTGCTAGTCATATATGTAAAAAGTTAGCGTCGCCTTAATCTATTCGTTCTTGTTATTTGTAGTGTAGTATTTTACAAGACATAAAGCATTTAAGTTCACAATAAATATTTAATAATAATATTTTATTATATTTGTAAATTAATTCAAGTTAATAAGTTGTTTGCCATGTTATATATTATATCGGATCTTATTGTAAAAATAAATTATTTATTAATATAAAGATTTGATTAGTTTAATTCAAGGTTCTAAAATATTTCTACTCTTAACAAGTAAGCAGTCTTTCTTTCTTTTCTTTTTTTCTAATAAATTTTAATATTTTTGCGAAAATAATATCATAAATCTATTATTAAAAAATTTTAGGGACATAAACCAAAGGCTTTATTAACCTCTCATTGAGCTAACCTTGTTACTTACTAAAATCTCTTCCTCTTTCACTTATCTCTACTATCAATATCAGTTATTTGTACTTCTCATCTTATATCGCAGCTCGAACGTAAAAATCGTAACCAATCAAGTTATGCGATACACCACACAAATAAGAACTTTTATTACTTTCTTATATTTTTTGTTTGTCATTTCTTGCATTTTGTTTGATTTTATTACAATTTAATTGAATTGCAATGCCTTTAATTAGTGAATTAAGTATTAGTAAAGCACAAGTGTCTAAGAACTAGCCGCAACAAATAAAGAAAGTAAGAAGAAGGAAGTATCTCTTTTCCTATGAAGCTAGTCTTTTCCGGAGAGGAATTGGTGGTTTCTCGTGGCTGTATTTAAAATCCAATTTGAAAAAATATTCTTCCAAACACCATGTAAAAAAGATATCAAAAGTCTAGTGTATACGATAAAATCATGTGTCCCCGATTTTGTAGGTTCAAGGGCTCGCATCGAGGAGAAAATTCGATATGGACCAAGCTTGAGCCCGATAATAGAATACAAGGCTCGAAGATCGAAGTACGAGATGAGCACCAAAGTCGGGAATGACCAGCCCCGAGATGACGTCGTTATGAGTTTCTAACAGAAAGAGCATGATTCTTGCCACATCCCCAAGATCATGGCGTAAATTCCGGAATAGATTTGTACGAGTTAGTACGAATTAGTACTGGACGGTTAGACAGTTGTCCCAATAAGATTCCTTACTATAAATAGAAATGTACCTTATTTAGGGTTCCTCTACTATATAAAGGAGACCCCAATGAATTGTAACTAGGGTGCACAAAGAAAATCGGCAAACCGCACCAACCCGATAATTCGAGTCAAACCGAGAAAAAAACCCGACTATGGTTTGGTGTTGGAAAAAAACCCCCGATCATAATTGGTTTGGTTTGGTTTTAACTAAAGAAAAGTCAAACCGAAACCAAACCAACCCGACATTACATATATAGAAATTTTAGATATATTTAATATATAAATATACTTATTGTGATGTAATTTATAAATATTTCTTAAAAAATTTCATAATTTTTTCTTTTAATGTATTATTTCAAGATTGGACTAAGAACTTTTGAGTGCTATAATAAGTTTTATAGCCATTAACATTAGTAAATTAAATAATTCTAACAAAAGCCCAAACTAAAATCAAATCAATACTAATGCTAACAAAAGACATTCAATTCAATACCACGAACGGGAATGTATTGGAGGGAAGGATGGTAAGCAAGAGGGGTTGCTCTGATGGTAAGCAACCCCCACTTCCAACCGAGAGGTTGTGAGTTCGAGTCTCCCCAAGAGCAAGGTCGGAAGTTCTTGGAGGGAAGGATGCCGGGGGTCTATTTGGAAACAGTCTCTCTACCCTAGGGTAGGGGTAAGGTCTGCGAACACACTACCCTCCCCAGATCCCACTAAGTGGGATTATACTGGGTTGTTGTTGTTGTTGTTGTTGTTGTTGTTGTTGAACGGGAATGTATTGAATATCTATTTTTTGTTTTGCAATAATTTAGATAAAAATGCATAACCTATTTTTATTTTTTCTTTAGCGTTTAGTCATGTAATTAATACTCTCTTATTAGTCTACTTATTTTAGCATGACTTAGTACTTTTAGATTATATTTATTTTTATCATGGCTTTTTAATTAGCAATATTTATATTACATAATTTTATTGTCTTTATTGTTGAATATTATAGGATAATGCCATGACACATCTCATATTTTGTACTCC